ATCTATACTATTTTTCTATTTAGATTTTTTTAAATAGGTTTTTTGTTTTCTAATTTCTATAGATTTACACAACTACAAAGAATTATTTTAGACTATATTATTTGATATTGCTTTGTATTTTTTTGTATAACTAATTACAAAAATATTTTATAATTTATTAGTTATGTTAGTATAATTATAATTACAAATATCTTAATCTTATTATTGAAAACAGTTACTGTAATATATATAAAAATTCAAATTTTGTTGTTAGTAGATTTTAAACTTGTAATCTGTCACTTAAAAGATTAACAACTTATTTACTTTACTAAGTTGTTTTACTTTTTTAGACTAATTTAAATATTTAAATTATTATTATAATTAAAAAATTTTTCTTTACAACTTTATTTTATTTATTTTTTTTTTAAATATTAAGATGAGTACTTGTGATCCAGAATTTTATTAATAATATATTTAGCTAATAGTTGTATTACAACTATAAAAAGATTATATAACTAGCTACTTATATAACTTTAATATTTGTCTAATTTAAATAGTTCACCTGAAGGTTTTATACTAGTTGTTATATCTGAAACCTGCTTGTAAATTTTCTATTTAAACACTTTTGTTTTTATATCTACCTATCTATTTATATCTATCAATAATCCCAATTGATAACAGTGAAAATATATCATAGTCACTAAGTCTTTAAAGCAGTTCATATATATAGAGAATCTTTAACCTTATACTAAACCTTTCAGAATTTTTTATATCTTATTCTTACAGCTGATTCAGTAATGCTATAGTTGAAACTAACACTTGCAATTAAAATGTATCATTAAACTGCTATGTTCTTGTAAAGTTCATTCCAATTCTAATACTTACTTCATAATATATTCTTTCTGCTTTAGTATTTAATTTAAATTCTATTAGGCTCTCAGTTCAAATAGTTTAGAAAGGTAAATACAACTATATCTTTGGTTTACATATTCTTCTAACATGTAACTTTTTTTTTTAGAATGAATCCTAGCAGCCTGACTGGTTATAACAGTTTCTTTCTAAAGACTGATTTATCTTTATTTAGCTTTACAAGTTTTAGTTCTATTTTATAAATCTAGTTTTTATAGTAACATTATTAAAAGTTTGTGTTATTTTTCTACTTGGGTCTTTCAAATAGGCTTTTGTCTTTCTGGTTTCTGTAATTTACACAGCTATGGAGACTTATTACAGGTTCACACTACACAGTACCAATTTGTGTTTCTTTATACAAGTTATAAGTATTGCATAAATGCTATGTGACCTTTCAGTTATATTTTTATAAGATTTATCTAAACTTTAATAACTATTTTTTTGATGTCTTCTTTATTATTTTTTACTAACTACAACTTAGAATTAATAGGACTCTTTAGACTTTTAATCCAAATAACTCAGTATAGTATATCTCAGTATTTTTTTCTTTAGCAATTCTAGTAGTCTAATTAGTTATATACTCTTTTATATATTTTGTTATTCAGTTTATTTACCTATTTTTATGAAGATGTTTTATGAGTTTTTATTATTTAATAGCATTATTAAAAGTTTGTACTATTTTTTTATTTAGAATTTTCAAGTAGGCTTTTAACTTTTTAGTTTTTTACTTTCTGTATCTGGTGGTCTTATTATAAATTTGCTTTAAAGTTTTATGTAACATTAGTTATTAATATTTTTTAATCAGTATTGCATAAAACTTTAATACAAATTTACAATAAGATCATCAAATACTAAAAATAAAAAAAACCAAAAAGTTGGAACCTACTTGAAAATTCTGAATAAAGATATAACACAAAAATTCAATAGTGTTATTAAATTAATAAAATCTATAAACTATCTTCAAAAAGATAAACAAATAAACTAAATAACAAATATATAAAAAAAGCTTATACATTAAACAATTTATCAAAATTATTAAAAAAAATATATATATAAATATATTATACTGAATTATTTGATTAGTAGTCTAAAGAATCCTATTGATTTTGAATAATTTTTTTTTTAATATTAAGATGATTTCCTTAGTTTTTCAACTTTACTATATTTTTGTTAAATATTATAATAAGTATACAACTGACTATATATATAATTTTCTATATTATCTATTTAAGAAATCTACTCAAAGGTTCTTTATTAGTTGTCATATCTAATATTTCTGCTTAGATGTTCCATTTAAACTCTTTAATCTGAAACCTTGTATCAACCTTATTAGGTTACTTGTACCCAGATCCTTATTTTAACCTTAGAACTATAATCCTTAAAACTATTTTATTTTTGAAATAAACTTACTAAAATAAACTATATTTTTTTTTTATTACTAATTTGATTTTTCACTATAGCTAGAACTAATACTTGTAGTCAGGATATTTATTAAACTACTTTTGCTTTTGTAAAGTTTACCCAAAGACTGATACTCTTCTTTTTAATATTATCTTCATTTTTTTTTACTAACTACTATTTAGAATTAATAAAACTTCTCAGACTATCAATTTAGATAATCCAATATAATATATTTATATATTCTTTTTCTTTGATGATTTTGGCAATCTGGTTGATGCATATGCTTTCCTTATATATCTGTCATCTAATTTATTTAACAATTCTTTTGAAGATGTTTTATAGGCTTTCATTAGTCTAATAGAATTATTAAAAATTTGTATTATTTTTTTATTTAGAATTTTCAAATAGACTTTTGTCTTCTCAGTTTCTTAGTCTTTTATGTCTAATGGTCTTATTATAAATTTGCACTAAAGTCTTATGCAACATTAGTTTTTTATATTCCTTTATATACATATAATATTACATTTCATATAAATATTCTAAGTTTCCAATATTAGGTAAAACCTAACTTAATGTATCTAAGATTACAAATACTAAATTCAACTGATTGATAAGAGACAATTACCATAACATAGATATAATTTTTAAAATTCATTGTTTATAGAAATTGAACCTTAAACCTGCCATTTGTAGATTAACAACCTATCTATTTTATTAGGTTATCATACTTTAATTTTGAATAATAACTAGTAAAAAATAATAAAGAAAACATTAAAAAAATATATACTGAGGTTTGAATAAACTTTATAAGAATATAATAGTTTAATGATTAATTCTAATTACAAGTACTAGTCTAATCCAAAATAATACTAAATTAATTATAAATATAAGATACAGAAGATTCTAATAAGTTTAATATAAAATTAAAGATTCTCTACATAAGTGAACTACTTTAAAAATTTTATAATCTTGACATATTTGCACCAGTATCAATCAAAGCAGTTGGTAGAATAAATAGATAATAGATATAAAAACTAGAATATTTAAATAAAGAACCTATAGATGAGTTTTAAGTATAACAACTAATATAGAATCTTTATAAAACTACTTAAATTAAATAGTAACTAAAATTATATAAGTGATTAATTATACATTTTTTTATAATTATTCCTATAATTATTATACAAATAGCTATTAACTAAAACATTTTATCAATAAAATTCTAAATCACAAATATTTATCTTAATATTAAAATAATAATTTTTTTTTTAAAAAAAAAACAATGTTTATAACTCATGATCTTTTATTAAAACTTATAATTTATAAATATTGTAGAAGAATATTATATTTTGTATATTAATGAACCTACAATTAACTACTTGTATAACTTTAATTATTGTCTTTTAAAGGTTTCACTTACTAATTACTTACTAATTGTTATACCTGAAACCTGCCTATAAGTGCTTTATTTAAAATCTGATTTTTAATGTTTTTTCTGTAATATCAACTTAATTATTTTTTAATAACAGTCCTTAGAATTATTTTACACTTGATACAAACTCTATCAAATGAAAGTAGATTCCATAATTACACCTATTTGAATTTATAAATTCTAAAATGATTTCATATTAGGTAAGATCAATCATTTTACAAACATTAATGATATTCTTCACATTTCTTACTATAGTAATGCTTATGCTCTGCTATACCAGTTTCCTTTCAAGAATTCTTTAGATCAAATATGTACCTTCACTTGAACTTCCACAAAGCTTCACATCCGATTATAGGTTCCATTTTTGGTTATAAAGTATTTTACCTCCAGCCAGACTCAAACCATTGACCTTGTCTGTGAGAGGATGAGAGCTTAACAACTAAGCTATGGGACCTAATCTCTTAAAATAAATTTGTAAATTAATAAAAAAAAAATTTAATTAATATAATCAACTTTCTCAAATACGAACCTGAATAATTCAAACCCTTAATAAACTTTAAAAAACAAACACAAAACTTCAGAACATTTGTAAATTTTATTAAAAATTTCTGATCAGCAACATAGTAACTCTTTGAAAACTGAACTTTGATATTTTTATATATAAGAACGAACCGTTCGAAACAGAGGGAGTTGACTGTATATAATAAATTTATTTTTAAAACTTAATATTATAGTATATATAATCCTAAAAGTATAATTCAAAATAACTTTCATTAGATTTATTATTATTAATAAACGTTTTAATTTATTTTATAAAATATAATGTATCGAAAATGATGATTGTTTTCGATAACCGTCTAAGCAAATTCGATGAACTTCTTTTATTTTACTTTTACAGATCCGCTCATCGAATTTGCTTAGGTAGCTGCCAAGATATCTGCGTTCAAAGTTGGTAAAGAATGAAAATGCCTACTAAATTAGAACAGTTATAAATTTTTTTTAAAAATTTAATGACAACTGCCTAAGCAAATTCGATGATAAAAAAAAGGTTCATTGAATTTACATAGAAAATTGTCGAGGTATCTTCGTTCCAAGTTTTTTTAAAAAAATGGTGTATTAAATTTCACAATTTAATTGGCTGATGTACGATAAACTGATGTACGAAAAAATCCGCCAAACGATAAATTTGCACAAGCCGATAAAAAAAGGTTGGCTACAAACGCTAATTGCAGTATTCAGTGATTAATTTATTTTTAAAACAACAATGTTGAGCTACAAATTACATATCAGGCCACCACAGGTGTCGTTGATGGAACAGTTCATATTCTTGCCATGATGCATTATCTAACCATTCTCGTGCCTCTAACCATATCCAAAACTTAAGCACCCATGCATTCTCACTAGAAATTTCTTTGATTCCTTCCCTCATTCCTCGTCCTGCCTCTTGCGCACCTAATTTTCTCAGTATTGGTAACGCATTTTTTAATAAATCCATTTGTGGATCTAATTGTCTTCCAATCCCTTCTAATACTAATATTGATATTATCACATTAATGAAATCGCCTTCCAATTTTACGTGATGATCCCTGACCATTTGCAATACTGTCTTCAATATATCCGAGATACGTATTTTTCCCAATTGTAACGTTAGAGATTTTACGTTCAGTACCAAATGTTGCATTTTTAATGCAAATATATCACCCGATACTACCAACTCTGGAGTTTTACATCGTTCTATCATTAACTGTCCTGCTCGAAATCCATTAAACTCAGCTACTGCTTGAAACAAATCGAGAAAATTTTTTCTGTTTATTTTATTTAAACTTGTTACTAATCCAGCATCTATAAATACTAATTGTGGTTGATATCCTTCATCGCACAACTTTACAAGTTCATCATTCCAGAGTTCTTTATCATGACTACATTCTAAAAGTCGCTTAGTAGCAGTTTCAGTTTCATAAGTACTAAAAAGTTCATCATCGGTGTTGATATTTGGCCAAAATGGAAGAAACGAAGATTTAAGTTTGATGAATTTAACTATTATATTACCAGGGTGAAGATCGGCGTGAACGAAATTGTCAAGTATAAGCATACGCTATGATAATTAAACAGATATAAAAAAAAATCAGTTTTAAGAAAATAAAAATAAAGAAAATCTAGAGACTTACGATAAATGCGTCAAGACCTATTGATTTAAAAAAAAAGAGTAAAAATAAATACGATTAAATAAAGTGTCATAAATGAAAATTTGAAACAAGGAATCATTAAAAACTTGCCGGTATTTGCAATAACTTGGTCATATACTCCACCACCTTGTTTAAGAATTAATTTAATAGATAATCCTTCTTCAAATTCTTCAATTAGCATATCTTTAGTAGAATATTCTAAGACAGGCATTGGGAATTTCACAAATCTATTATTTTTAAAATTCTCTTGAAAATTTCGCAAATTTTCTGCTTCGATTTTTAAATCCAATTGATCTCGCATCATTTCCCCAAATTTTGCTACTTCTTCAGGAAAAGAAAGCCATTGCATACTAGGAAAAAAATTAATTAAATTTGCAAATAATGTCAAGATTTTAAGATCACGTTGAATAGTTTTTTCTGCAGTTGGATGCAGTACTTTGACAGCAACTACAGGAAATCCAGTGGGAACATTGAATCGTTTTTTGGTTACAGTTGTTACAGCTCTTGAATCACCTTGATAATATTCTATAGGAAGTATGTCAGGTTGAATTTTGGCTTTATATACCTATATTAATATGTAATTATTCATTGAATGTTAATTGCTTAATAAAAAAAAATTCTTATATAAATCAAATATAATATAATTACTTGCGCGATAGCGCCAATCCCAATAGGTGTCTGATCAAATTCCGAAAAAATTTCATGAAACGGTTTATTAAATGCTTTTTCAATTATTCTTTTAGTATCGTCGAATGGATGTGGACCTACAGCAGAGTGAAGTTTTGACAGATGTCTGCACATCTCTTGAGGAAATATGTCAGTTCTTGAAGCGGCCCATTGCGCAAGCTATTTTTTTTTTTTTAAAAAAAAGGGTTACCTAATGTTAGTTTAATTAAAACGCTGGAATATATAAACTTACCTTTATAAATGTTGGACCAGCAGATTCCATTTGACGGACCAGCATTCTATACCACCAAATAGTTCCTGTCCTTTCATTGCCATTTTCAGGTAATCTTGACCCAAAAAAAATGACCGGCGATCCAATGACCAATGGTAAAAATAAAATCAACAAATATGTGAATCTGCAAACAATTAAAAGTGGTTCAACCAAATGTTCTGATATAAATATAATAATATGATTTATCCAACTCTTTATTATATTAGGGGAATCATCATTAATAATAGAAGAATGTGTTTGTATAGAATGCAGTGATGGTAATGTGTGTTGGACTTTATCGGATTGTGTATCATATATTGAAGCAACAGTGATTGCATATCGAATATTTGGTAATGCAAAGATAAAAAATTTTCTGAGGTCAATAATTTTCTTTTGCCACAAAGTCGATCTTTTTAGGCAAGACCATCTATTTAGTTGTCTACATTCTTTAAATTTATTTTGGTTTATTGTACTTATTCTGCTAACCCGATAATTTTTAATAGGCTCGAAATAAACTTTTTTTGGATGTTTAAAAAAAATTGCCTGTGCATTTTGACATCGACTGGTAACGAACAAAATAAACCTATAAGGCCTCATAAAAGCAGTGTTACCTATTAAAAAATATTAGATATTGATAATTTTATACTGATCGTCGATCATGCCAATAAAATAGTTATAGCAAAAAAAAATGCGCCAACACTAACTCTAACGATGAATTTAAATTATGACGCATACACGTACGTATGAACATGCGTATTGATGATGTTATTAGCAACGGGCATCAAATACATCACAGTGTTAGATATTTTCGTAATTTGATCATCGACACTATAAGGGGGTGCCAGTAGAAGCCAAGCAAATTGTTTCCAAGTAAAACTTTGATTATTTTAATTCTACATAGTTATAGAATTAAAATAAAAAAAAATTTAGCAAGTTTGGTTTTAATAGTTGGAGACATTTTAATTTAAAATTTTTTTAAAAAAAACACTAAAAACAATTTGCTTGGTTTCTACTGGCACCCCTCATATATTATATCTTATACATTATATTTAACACAACGTTAAAAAAAAGCTGATATATATATATTATTAAATATACCCACGCCTTTATACTAAAATTAACCAATACGGTATTTCTAGTATTAGCAAAAAGGACATCGAAACTTAATCCACAATTTTCAAACTCGTTGCATAAACCGAAACGGAAGCCGGATCCGGATTATAATTGACCGGTTTAAAAAACCTAGCAACAAACATGGTTCTCCCACAATATCCCGACATCCAAAATCTCGAAACCATAATTACGACGTGACAATTAATGTTTAAAGAGTAGTAATCACATTAACAATCATTGTCAGAGTTAAATGGTTAATTGTCACATCGCGTGATGTCGTATTATGGTCTGTCGGGATTTCGTGATAGAACCGACAAGTATATGTGAGAGACAAATGGAGCCTGTGGGATGTTAAATTATACACGCACTTTCAGTTCGGATTCCCTTTGTGAAACACTATCTCATACACATCAAAAGACAATCTGGTTCGGAACAAAATTAATCATCGAAGTGCAAGCAAGGTTCAGAAACATGACATTATGTCTCGCATGTTTAAGTTAATCCACATATTAGCGTTCGTACGTATATTAATGGATGACTTGGTTAGTTATTATTTATTATTTACATTATAAAAATGTATAATAAAGGTTGGTCATGCCTGAAATGGCTTGGGCTGAGACATGCTCCTCTTATAGAGTCTGGGGCATGCTCATAGACGATCGTAATTGCAAATTGGGTGCAATTACACTTTTATTAAATCGCATGAAGATATACGATAAAATAACCAAGAGACAGATTATAATCGCTTCTATATACCGACCTAATTGCTTTGATTTTATTAGTTAGAATGAGTTCGTTAAATAACTGAGGTTCCTTTATAATAAACATGTACAGACGAGTTGGCATAAAACAATTAACCGAAAATTCTATTTCACCGCGACCAACTACATTTAAAATATGGGACAGAATAAAATATCAGATTTTAATTGGTTTTTCAAAAATGGTATAACTTAGCAAAAAATTCTTAAATCAAAAATCCTTTTTCAAATTGTTAGTTTATAATCCAAACTACATTTCTGGAGGATTTTCTTTTATTTTTATTTTATTATAAGTTATAGCGGTTTAAATATTGCCTATTGTATATAGGAAATTGCTATTTATACTTCTATTTTTGCTGTTCATACCCTCCACTCCTATAAAAAAATCATTTAGCATGTATAATCGTGATACAAGACAATCAGGGTTGGTATTTTTCTATTAGGATATAATTCTATTTTCACTTTTTTTATTTTTCTATTGTAAATTTTTAGTATTAAACTTTAATAATTAAATATAAAATATTTTAAATTTATTACTTTACTAATGCTCTAACAATATATATTTAAATGATATAAGAAAATTTTTTTTTATATAAAGACAAAAAATTAAAACTTCTGTATTTGCCAACACTGAAAACAATATATAGTCTGCGCATCAATAATATTATAACTAAAAACATGAAATTAACCTCTTATATTATATTATTTAGGGAAATTCTATTCTGACCTGGGTCAAAATAACCTTCCCTAAAATTTAGGGATAGTGCGGGCCAAAATTATGTTGATACCGACCAGGGTTTTTTAATATAAAAACCCGGCTAACATTAACGGCCCGCACTAACCTTAAATTTTAGAAGGGGTTATTTTGACCCTGGTCAAAATAGAATTTCCCTATTATTTATATGGAATTTTGACGCATTGATTTCTAGATGCCACATAGGATAACCAATCAAAATTAATTATCACTTAATCATGTGATATAAACCAATCAGAATATATTGCCAATAAAATTTTCAAAAAATGACCGTATTACAAACCAATCAAATCAATCAAAAAAATCTAGACAACAACAGAGTGCATTGTTGTAATTGGTTTATTTTTTTTTTTTACAAAAACTCCAAATTTGATAAATTTGATATCATTCCGATTCGTCTCTGTGAGACGAATCGAATGTACCAATTCGACGAAAATCTATTTAATGAATTACGCCATTTTTGCCGTAATTCATTAAGCCGTTATTTGCGAATATCTTGTGTTCCAGTGATCTGAATTGGATGATTTTTAGTACCGAATAGAACGGGATTACCGGATCACGATATAATTGAGTTTTTGTAAAAAAAAAAATTCAGGACCAATTACGGTATTGCGCTCACCTTACTAAACAGAAAGAACCGTCAATGTTGCACAACTAATCCCTCACCTGGTGTGCAGTTCATATTTTTACAATATTGGATCACTCTACCATTAATGTTATAGATACGATCCTTCACCTCCTGTTGGATTAGTTGTACAACATTGATGGTTCCTCCTGTTTATGCAAACAAATTATTTTATTATTATCTATTATTAGCAAAGCTTTACTCTGTTTTTTAAATAGTAATTCTATCAACACAGCCTTTATTAAAGACGTAATTATAAATAGAATAAGTTTATATTAACACACGCGGTCATACAACTCATTGAATCAATAATAAGCCAGGATTAATCTTTATTGTAAACATGTGCTTGCTGCGCGTCATTCTTCAATTTATGTGTCATTCGTAGATTAGAGAACAATATGTCGCCTGCATTAAAATTCAAAACTATATGAATTACCTATTCTTGATCATTATGAGTTAGCCAGTATTATACGTTATGAATACTGACGTAACCCATACTGTTTCGGCACCATTTGGCACTTTCGACACATTTTGATTTTGATTGGGAGTTGGGATTTTGTCAATATTAGTTTAGCAATTTGGGATTCGGCATTTGACGAAACTATCGGGTTTGGGTTACACCACTAGTTATGAATTGGCCTTTTTATGAATTAAACCATTCTTACTAAATATTATAGGTTGGAAATTCTTGAATGTTCCATTTGCATTATAGCACATATTTTTTTAATGTATTTTGACATTCATAATGACTTTTAAGTGTGGTAAATTTTCTCTTTGGTTACTGTATTGGAAATTTCGAGTATTTGATTAAAGATATTTGGAACAAAAAATTGTTATTATCAATTTAGTACTTCGAGAATTGATTTGTGAACATTATTTTACAAGTTCTAGCATTAACACTAATCGAGGACGCAGTAGCATGTTCTTCCTATCCGATACTAATTTGATCAGCAAAATACTTTAAAACAATCTTCACTGGAACGGTCCGGTAACATTCTACCACTGCACCGGAAGCTACTATACCTCCAAGAAAAAAGTTATATTTGCAAAATATGGAATCTCAAAAAAAAAAAGAAAACTCTAAAAAGTTAAATAAAAAAAGTTTAATATTTTGCGAATATATTCTATGAGGATATATGGGGACGCCCACAGCAAAAGCAGGGGATGGGACTATATATTATATAGTCCCATCCCCTGCTTTTGCTGTGAGCGTCCCCATATCTTATTTGTAACATTAGTTTTAAGATTTAGATAACAAGTATAATTATTCTCAATAAAAATATTCAGAGTAAAAAATTTTAAGATGATCCAGATTAACCTGACATGTGAAACTTAGACACGTGAAAATTAAACATAAAATTAACACGCGAAAATTAAACACGCGAAAATTAAACACACGGAAATTAAACACGCGAAATTAAACAGTAAAGAAAAAAATATCCAAGCTATACACGCGTCTTATTTCGGTCAGGGAATAGATGAAAATTTATCATGTCATTTAGTTACGTCCCATATAAAGGTTATGTCAAACGGGTTTATAAAATAAAGCATAAGTAAGTTTACATCCGCAAATCTGCGATGGCATAAACTTGTTTTATTGTTCTTAAAAGGTATTCGTAGCAGCAATGAATTATATGTACGTACGTATCCGTCAAATGTAGACATAAAAATGTAGCATATACGTTAGAAATTAAGCATAAATTTGGAACGCGCTCTACAAAATTAACATCGAAGATCATTGATCATTCCATTTCGACCAAAA